GTTGAATGACAGTGGTTTAAAGAAGCGGATGAAATTGTACAAAAACGCAAAGTGACTTTTAGGGACAGGTGTATGACAATTTAAGTTATTAATGGCATTCTAATTACCATGTGCTTTGAAACCTGTGCTATCTGGTTTTTCTGAATCTCAGAAGTCTCCCCCACCTTTGATTGGGTGCAGCTTACCACTTTTTTGTCATTCGCTATTAGTGAAAAAATATTTGAGTCCTTTTCGCTAACTGGTTTCCACCTGACACTGTTTCTAGCCATTGTAGGTTTTACTATAAATGTTATGAGCAAAACTAGACATGAACACAGACAAGAATTCTAAGGAAAATGATCAAGTCCAATTGCTCAGGTGGCTGACATAAAATATTCAGAGACTGTGCTTAACTTTTAATGAAAAGAATATGCTGAACAGGTATTTATCAGCACTCTGCTTTACAACAAATACACAGCCAGCACCTAACTCATTTCTTATCAATGCAAGTGGGAAATTAAGATTGAAGGCCGGTAATGTGCCAGGCGCTGGGGATATAAACATGATGATCTCTAGCCAGAAGAAAACTATACTCTATTTGTGCATCATGGGAGAGTTAGAATAGCTTCAAGGTCATTATAGACCTGTGGGTCTCCTAGTGTGGTTTTCAACCTGGACCAGAATTGTCAACATAGCCTGAGAACTTCACAGTTTTGAATCAGAAACTCTTTGGGGTAGGCGATTCTGATGCCAATTCCTATTTGAAGACCACATTATATATGAAGGAAAGAACGTAAATGAGGGCACTTGTGTCAAGGGAAAAGTAAATAGACTAGAGGATGAGATTATGAGAAATACCTCAAAAGATGGAGGAAGAATAGACAAAGAATAAGAGGAAAACAAAGAAGAGAATCTCCTTAACTCTGGATAAGAAGTCGCTTCAGAGAGGGACAACTCTGACCAGTAGCTATATGCTGCCCAGAGGTCAAATTGAATTGGATCAGGGAGGGACAACTAAAGAGCTGGCCAGGAGTGAGCTAGAGGAAGCAGGGTCTGGGGGCTTCCGGCAGAGAACCGGCTGAAGGAATGAGAAACCGAGTGGGAAATGAGTTGGAAGCAGGGGGAGAAGGCCACTTCGTGAGATGATTTGCAGGAATGGCAGGGTTAAGACTCAGTGGCTGTTTGAAGAAGCATGGTGTAAGGGAGACCTTTTATTATAAGGTAAATTGGACAAGTGCTGAGAAGAGTTGACAAGAGGTCTGTGCCTTCAGAAAATATAAAGAGAAAGAATCAAAGACAGCAATATAAAGATGAAAGGGTTTTTCAGTTACTGAAATAAGGGGGAAAGAAAATGATTCCATAATTCAACAAATACCAAATCTATACTTGCTGGACACTGCTGAAAATCTGTACTTACTGGGCATTTAAAAATCAGTTTATTGGGGGCTCATACAGCTCTTATCACAATCCATACATACATCCACTGTGTCGAGCACATTTGTACATTTGTTGCCATCATCATTTTCAAAACACTTTGGTTCTACTTGAGCCCTTGGCATCAGCTCTCCTTTCCCCCACTTCCTCACACACGCACACACCCGCTCACAAATCCTTGATAATTTAAGAATTATTATTTTTTTCCTGTCTTACACTGTCTGAAGTCTCCCTTCACCCACTTTTCTGTTGTAAATCCCCCAGGGAGGGGATTATATGTAGATAATTGTGATCAGTGCCCCCCTTCTCCCCCCACCTTTCTCTCCTGGTATCACTACTCTCATTATTGGTCCTGAGAGGTTCATCTGTCCTGGATCCCCTGTGTTTCCAGTTCTTATCTGTATACCCAGGTATATGCTCTGGTCTAGCTGGATTTGTAAGGTAGAATTGGGATCATGATAGTGGTGGGGAGAAAGCAGTAAAGAACTAGAAGAAAGTTGTGTTTCATCAGTGCTATACTGCATCCTGACTAGCTCGTCTCTTCCTTCCTTGTGACCCTTCTGTAAGGGGATGTCCAATTGTCTACAGATGGGCTTTGGGTCTCCACACTGCACTCCCCCTCATTCACAATGATATAATTTTTGTTGTTGTTGTTCTGGGTCTTTGATGTCTGATACCTGATCCTATGAACACCTCATGATCACACAGACTGGTGTGCTGCTTCCCTGTGGACTTTGTTGCTTCTCAGCTAGATGGCTGCTTGTTTATTTTCAAGTCTTTAAGACCCCAGATGCTATATCTTTTGATAGCTGGGCACCATCATCTTTCTTCATCACATTTGATATGTACCCGATTCTTCTTCAGCGATAATATCGGGAAGGTGGGCATCATGGAATGCCCGGTCATTAAAACAAAGTGTTTTTGCATTGAGGGAGTACTTGAGTAGAGGCTCAATGTCTGTCTGCTACCTTGGTACTTAACATATACATATATGTACATAGATCTATTTCCCTATCCTTATATATATATTTACATATGTACATGCCTGTATTTAGACCTCTATAAATGCCCTTTACCTCCTAGTTCTTTCCTCTATTTCATCTTACTTTCCTCTTGTGCTGGGCATTGTTCTTATGTAATGGTCTAAATATATAAAATACTTGTTCTCTCAAAGTATATGTTTTTGTGAGGGTAGATAAAGGATAAGGTGATACATATATAATTTGTCAGGTTGTCTTAATGTTATGAAGAAAACTCAGTAAGGTGAGGTGATTAAGGGACAAGGAAGGTATGCTATGGAGAATAGTGAGACTTCCTAAAAAGGCTGAACTTGTGTGAGTCAGGGGACCATGCAGGTATAGCTCAGTGCTAGAGACCAGGTGCAAAGAGCCTTCATCAGCATCTGTGCTGGATGCTTTACAAAAAGTGAGGAGGCCAACTGTCTAAAGTGAACTCCCAAAGTGACTGATAGAAAACGTGGAGGACCACAGCAGGAGAAGTCCTGAAAGACAGTTTGAGGTCGCTTTGGAGTAAAATGAGAAGTGATGGAAAGCTCAGAGCACAGGCTGGACAAGGTCCGGATTACTTTTTTTCAAAGACAGTTTTAGTTGCTGTGGAGAACAAGTTATAAAAGCTCAAGAACATAAATGGAGAGAAAGAGGAGAAGGCTGTGTTCTATTCATCCAAGTGGAAGTTGAAGGAGGTGGTGGTGAAGTTGGGACATCTGATGAGAATTTCAATACACAGGGGGTCCTCAAAATGTTTATGGAAATAATCCATTATCCATTTTGTCTATACCTTTTTAAAGCCCGTGTGTGTGTGTGTGTGTGTGTGTGTGTGTGTGTGTGTGAAAGGAAGTGCCACATGATTTCTTGGTAGAGTTAGGTGTAAGGTCTGAGAGAAGAGATGACTGCATGCATGGTGGATAAAAGGGTTTTATAAGTTGGAGGTGTAAAAAAAGCAAGGAATTAAACATAATGTAGTTGCTAGGTGCTACTGAATGGTAATCTTTATTGAGTTCATAATGTTCTTTAGAAGTGGGGATGGTGAAATTTCAATTTTATTTGGACATATCATCAGGAAAGGCCAACTGCTGTTTGGTCAATGGCCACCGAAAATGAGGAAAATCTTCAATGAGATGGGTTGATATAATACCCACCAAAAATTGACTCAAACATACCGGCAGCCATGAAGATGGCAAGGCTGGGTCTTGTTTCCTTGTTATGCATAAAGTCAATATCATTAGTCATTGCCAACTTGATGGCGCATAACCACAATAATAAGACTATCGAGCATTTTGCCACGTCACACAAATACATACACATGGGCTTCACAATTTTGTGGAAAAATTGATCAATTAAAATATAATGGAATTTCCATGAATTTTTAAGCCATCTCTCTCTCTCTCTCTCTCTCACACACACACACACACACACACACACACACACACACACACTCTAACCCTTCTTACAACTCGAGTTTGTGAAGAAGTAATTAAGCTTAATCAATTTAGATTAGAACAAGAAGTCATAGGGCTAGGGAGTGGCATATGGTGGGTTGTCCCCCCACCCCCCAAGGCTGGCTCCTGAGCACATAGCCTTAACCCCCCACATGACTTCACCTCTGTTTTCTTTGTAAAAAGGCAGGTTGCCCAGAGTTGGTGAAAGAGTGGAAGGGCATAGCCTCGTCTGAGAGTTCAGAGAGGAGGTTGACAGATTGCTAAAAAAATGTGCATCCAGGACATCCTCGAAAAGTACAACGGCAACTGCTTTCTTTAGGGCAGTCATTTGTTTGTGTGGGTTGGGGCTCATCTTCCTGTGGCTGCTGTGCCATGTCTATATGAAGACAGTAACCGAGCAGCAGTCATTCTGGATCTTTTCGAAAGTGATACCAATCGCTGAGAGACCCTGATAGCGGAGAAGTCCTTTGACTTACCACAATTGGTGTGTAGCTGATGCCCAGTTCCAAGTTCTAAGACATAAACTTCCCTCTGATCTTATGCAGCATAAACACTGACTTGAAATATAGTAGGTCGGTGGGATGGAAGTTGAGTCATGACATATTTATTAAGGTGGGCACTGAGTTTGACACTCATAGGTATGCCAAATTAATTCAAGACACATTGCTTGGCCTTCGGGGTCTTATAGTATTGGTTTGGCTAGGAAGGACCACCCAACATTCATGAGGATTGAGAAATCAAATCTCGGCTTTGGGCTTGCTGTGCTGCATGGAGCTGCCAGGCAGGGGATGAACAGGGCCTTGGCGCATATGGAATGCACATGCAGCGGCGGCTCTCAGCCTGTAAGCATGAACTCCGTGAGCCTCCTGGCTCACAGAGGGAAGGTCGCTGTTTGTGCATAAACACTGTCACTTCACCAGTCCTGCTAGTTCATCTTGGAACCTTGGCACGAAAAGAACACTGACCTTTTCCCTGCAGCCTGCTTTCCTCTGAAGCTTTGCATTGCAGATTAAAGGGATGACATTCATCAAGGAACAGATCTGGCCAACTGCTCCCCAATCTCAACTGGAAACCAAGCCTACAAAGAGCTAGGCTCCTCTTTTTCAAACCCCGTTAAGGCAGCTCTCACGTGACCACATTGCATCTCTGAGCTTCGGGCAACTTTACCCTGAGAGCAAGTGTATGTAAGCAGAAATGGGTGAGCTGGGACAGCCTCCCCAGTCTGTCCTTGTTACTTAAAGCAGGCATAGTCACAAAGGAGGTCATCTCGACAATCCACTGTGTGCCTTTGAATTCTTCAAAAGAGGTACCGGAACGATTGACCTGAAAGCTGGCTAATGATTCTGTCGATTGTCTTTTCTATCATTTTATTCAGGCCTTTGACAAACAATTGTCCTATCTTCCTCACTGGAGCGCCTACATCTAAAAAAACACGCTTCACACATAGCCCTTCTCTATGTGTGCTTGCATGTTTTCTCCTAAAATGAAAAAGAGAAGAATATCAGCAACTTTGGGGGGAAAAAGCAGCAACAGAGTGGTGATTTAAATCTACAGGGCTAAAGAGAGAATGAAGAAAATGCCCCCCCTCCAAAAAAATTGACAATAGACAACCACCCAGAGCACTGTGGTATCTTTAAATCGAGTACTGTGCCTTGAAGCACACATAATCCAAGCATACTGAATGTTCAGCGTATAGTAAATCCCTGCGATATGAACATCCAGTGTACAGACTTTTCCTTGTCTTTCTACAGTATGCAAATTGGCCCTCACTGTGAAATCATTGAACTAACCTCTACTCACAACAAGTTCTTTAATATAAGTTAATGTGCTGGACGTACAGCTTTTAAATAATTGAGTAGGCTTTGGGCTTTTTGTTACACTGATGTGAGGCTAAATAAGAACCATATGCACCTGTTCCGACCTACCTATACATTTGACTTAAAGACACACGTAGTAAAGCACCTTATTTTTAACCCAGGGGCTGTCTGGTTTCTAGACACAATTTAAAGTATTTTTTATGGATTAATTTACCTAATTTTCATAATACTATTTAACTCAGCTTCCAGCCAGGAGAACCGAACATGGAGACGGTAAACAACTTGTTTAAGATGGAACAGGTATGTGACTTACTTAAGACTAGCAAGTACAGTGGTGCGCCACCTAAAATCTATTCAGACAACATACATCTGCTATTCCAGAGGCTTGTAATAGAGTTCAGAAACTCCACTGGGAGAATAGGATACAATAGCTACTTTCATGCAACATGTTCATCTCTTGCATACAAAGTGTACATATATAACCTAGCATACATATATCGCAATAGTCATAAAAACACTTAGGATGCTAGCTTATATGTGTACTGCACTTGCTATCAAAAACTTTTACCCCAGAAGATCTTATGCTTGAATTCACAGGCAGTAGCATCCACTCTCGTGTGTCGTGTATCTTTTGAATGTTGTAGCATTAGCTCTCTTTAGAACGTATCCGTTTCCATGCACGGCAAACCCCGTGCGAGCTCTAGCAACAGCAAGAGGCAAAGGAGAAGTTTCTATTTGGAAGTTAAACAAAAGCTTATTAAATAACCAGAAGGCAGAAAATAAATGAATGCTACAGCTTGACGCCGAGCCCTGTTGTACTTGTCCATCACTGTGAATCTCAAAAACAAACAAACAAACAAACAAGTAAACCATCCTTGAAGCTGTTAAAGGAGCAACTCCACTGAAAGCCATAAGGCTCATGGAAATGAGAGAGGGACCTGTTTCAGACACGGAGACATGCCTAGTCATGTCGATTGAAGAACAAACCGAGAAGCAAATCCCTCTGAGCAAACTGATCATCACTGCAAAGGCACAGAGCTGGTTCAAGGTGCCTCAGGAACCACAGGATCAGATGACGATATTGTGTTCACACAACATCCAATGGCATAACATTCTATTTCAAAGACCATCTTGTGAATATCAGGTGACAACTTCTGATAGCTTTAAGGAGAATAGTCAAACTCTGGAAGATGGTCTCAGAATCAATGACCTTAACCATTGCACTGTGCTGCCACCAAGACTACCTTCTTTTTTCCTTTTTATACCGGCCATTCAATTGGACATGAATCTTGAACCACAAATGACAAACCTAGAAAGCGTTTGGAGATGAATCAATTCAACCACTGCAGTAGAAACGCCTGTTTTCTGATTTAGTAACAAAGGAAAGATTTATCCTGGAGGTTTCCAATCTAGCATTGTAGGGAACATCAGACCTCAGGAGAGAGACCTTAAAGCAGTGGTTCTCAACTTGTGGGTCGGGACCCGTTTGGGGGTCAAATGACCCTTTCACAAGGGTCCCCCGATTCGTAACAGTAACAAAATTATAGTTATGACATAGCAACAAAAATACTTTTATGGTTGGAGGTTACCACAACATGAGGAACTCTGAAAGGGTCGTAGCATTAGGAAGGTTGAGAACCACTGCCTTAAAGCCTGCCCATATGGGGGTGAACGGAAGACACCACTTCTCTAGATAAGCCCTGCTTTGGGGGAGTAGGCTTCGGAATAAAACTTGCATGTGGATAAAATACTCTTGCTTAAAAAAAAAATTCTTGGGTCTCCCCATTCTTCTATTGAAAGAGTCGGCTGGCTTGAAAGGCTAGAAGTCATTTCAAGGTGGGGGTGGATTATACAGCATCATGACCAGTTCACAGGTTAGATAATTTGTTACTTCTATAAATGTGTTTGTTAGCTTGACTCATGACCTACCTTATTCATCACTAGTTTCACAACTGTTGGGACACATTGTGGCAACTCTACTTCATCTAAAAAGTAGAAACAGAGTTCCAAGAGGTATTTACGGATGAACCAGTTATTAGAAACAAGAGTAAGTTTGTTTTGCATGAACAACATAGCCTGCTTTATGGTGTCAAAATGCAACAAAATGAGTGGAAAGCTAGCTTTTTGTGTATTCGCAAATGACCAGTAATGGATTTACCTTTCTCAATATCTGGATGAAAAAGAAAAACAGTATAAGAATGAAACATCAAATCAACTAATTTGGTTTTAGAGGAATAATACTGACTATCCAATCAAACAAAGGCAAATGCACACCATGATTTATTTTATTTCAACTCACAATACTATCCAAATTCACTGATAACACTGAGTAAATTCAGGCTTACTTTGCTTTAACAATAGTTTCTCTGATGATGATTCTACCTCTAGTAGAGTTAGCACATGGTTTGATATATACACTGGGTTATATAAAACAAAAGTTGTACTGAAGAGGATGCGAGGTTGGCAAGACATAAGAGAGGCAGAGAGTGGTCAGGAAAAGGAGTTTGTGGGAGCTGGTGATCACCACGGAAACTCTTACCTTCTGTGGATCCATCCGTTCCCATGATAAATTTAATCGATCTGATGATTTGCTCTGTTATCGGGGGACTCATGGATGTGGCATAAGCAGCACTATGTGAATTAACTCGCAAATAATCCACAAGCTCCTTAAATAAAGTGGGAAATCCAAACAAAGGTATATCAGTCTTATTCTTGTCAGTGAGAATCACATCTTCTCTCTCTTTGTAACAAAAAAAAACCACATTTAATTCTAACATACCAAAAGATAAATAAATTCTGGCATTCAATGAGAATTACTGAACTATTTTTTCTATCATTTTATTCCAAGGGTCACTCACAATAATTGAGACGCTATGCCAACGTGTTACTCTGAGGGTTTCGAGTTTAAATCTAGGAGAAAATCAGATATGTAAGGAGAAACAATTACTTAAATACTTTTTGTGCATCTACTTGGTGTGAACTCTGGCTTAAGATTCAGATGTAGCCCAAGAGTATATGATGTGACTCTTGATACCAAGAATGCTATACAAGATTGTCTCTATAGACAGGTATTGAATGGTAGGTAAGGCGCGTGCACACAAGTATGTGCAGCACGGCTTCAGGGTTAGCATATCCTAGTCGGACTGGTCCGAGAAGGTTCCAGTGAACTAATGAAATTGTCGAAGTCTTGAAGAACGAAGATAAAGAAGAGAAGAAAAGTTGATGGTGTGGATAGGGAGTTGGAAGAAGGAAGAGGCTGAAGGAAAATTCAGGAAGTAGAAAAACAGACCACATATTGTAGATTGCCTGCAAAAAAAATGGCTGTAATTCTCTTTTTCTTTGTACCTTTGCTCTGTTTCAGCTATAGAAAGGGTCACTATGAGTTAGGATCAACTCGGTGGCTGTCAGTTGGTTTTTGGTTGTCGATCAGAAGGAGGATGAATTCAGGCTGACTTACTTTGACCAACAGAATGTGGCAGAAATGGCGGTGCACTAGTTCTGAGCCTAGACCTCAAGAGGCCTTGAGTGCTTGCCCAGGGCCACGTGAATAAGCCCTAGGTAGTCTGCTGCAGGATGAGAGCTAGGTGGAGTAGAGAGAAGCCTTCCCAACCTAGGCCAGTCAGTCATCAGCTCACCCAGCAACTGATGGCGATTCAAGGGCAAACTCGACTGTGGCCAAAGAACATGCCCATCTATGCCCAATTAAACATGCTGATGTGCAAACTCATGAGCTAAGTAAATGGCGATGTTTTTAGCCACTAAGTTATGAAGTGGCTTGTGAAACAGAAAGAGCTCACAGATACAGCATGTTTGGAGGATAACCTCCTAAGTGGAGATACTGTAAAATTAGTCAGAGTATATTAGGACTAGATAAAGACAAAGTTCAGGAGTTAGGGGTTCCTGCTTTGGGTAACTGAGAATGATTGGAATTTTTTTGCACTACTATTTGGCATGCTGTTCCACTACATAATACTGGTCTTTTGTGGTAGGAACAATTCTTTACCTGTATGCTTGACTCCTGAGGGCTAAAGAAAAGTTCCTGATAAATTGAGGAGGGTCTCATGGCTGGCATCTGGGCTAGCTCATGCCACCCATAGACCCATCACCTGTACTGGCACACAAGCTGGGGCCCTCTGGGTGCCTTGCACACAAGCTCATGGGTTGATGACAGTCCTCTGCATTAGTAGTGGGATCTGTAATGAGCCAACCACTATTTTTTTTTTTTTGGAGGAATGAGAGTTTAGACTCCTCCTTGGTTGTCTTTCCTAATAATTTCCACATGGAGGTGATCTGGGAGGAGCTCCCAGGAAAGAGAAGAGAGGGATTTGCTGCTTTAGGCAAGCCCACTCCCTGCTCTCCTTCTTCATCCTGTGTAGTAGTCATGGCCATCTGAGAACCTCCATTTCTACCAACCTCTTGAGACTTGATCCTGCCCTTACTTTTCCATCTCTCTTGGGATATGGTTCTCAAATTCTTTAATGGTTCAGTGTTCACTTCCTTACAGGCACCTTTGGGTGAAGGTGAAATCCATGATAAAATCCCTCCATTCCTGACCCACAGGAGGAAGCTGTCATTGACCAAGAATGTGTTCAGAACTAGTGCATCTTTTCTTTCCCACTTTTTTCTTTCCTTTCACCATCCCTCCTCCCATGAAAACTCTCCCTTTTTTGCTCTTTCCTTTCCTTCTGTCCTATTCTTCCTCCCCCTTCCTTCTTTATTTTTCTTTCAAATTCTCCATTCTAAATGGTTTCTTTCTCTTCATTTCTAAATCTATGTTTTCTTCTACCTTCACTCCCTCCCTTTCTCCTTTTACCCCATCCCTCCTTGCCTTTCCCAGCAAGTATGAAGATGAAGATGACTTACCTAGGCTATGTTTGTGGATATGCACCCGAGAGGGGAGGGGGAGAGAAAAAGTTGACAGGCTCGACCTTAACATTCATTCTCCATTGATCTAACTGGAGGAATTTCTGCGCATTCTCTGTTTACAGAATCTCATAAAGACTGTGGGCTGAGCTTTCAACAAACTTGAAGAGTATGTGTAGGATGAATGGCCTGATTTTAGCTATTATCTGGTGACAAGGTATTCAGGAAGTTCCCTCTGGGAAACTCAGGGGTAGCTCAAAGAGAGATGTGGCCGTTTTCTAGAAGAGGTTCAGTGCTTCTCTGCGAGTAGCACTAGGGATTATTATTTTACGTTGAGAATGACTGTCTCACTGCGGGTGCTGGAGGAACTAAGTAGGAGAGCAGCGTCTGCTGAGTCAGGATGATGAAAGTTTACACGGGTAAATATCAGAAAATAGATGTTTCAAGGAACTGATGTGGTCTTATAGAATTGGTAGAGGTGGATGGATGGATGGGAAGTAAGGAGAATGCCTAATCAGGTGGTAAATTAGGAAGAAGAATGGTGCCTTAGGGACAAAGAAGGGAGGAGTCAATTGGAAGGAGAGGGAAAAGCTGGTACCTTAGAGACAAGAAGCTGTTTCCTGTGACTCAGAGATATGTGTGTCTGATTGCTTAGGCTCAAACTATGACTCTACTGTGTAACCTTGAAAAAATTACTGAACATATGCATCTTAGTTCTCTTGAGATAATAGTAATATCAGTATCATAGTCATTATGAGGGTTAAAGGCATTACACATTAGAAAAGTGTCTATTATACAGTGGATGCATGATATAATTAACAGTTCTCATTGATAGATTCCCAAATCAATGGTTCTTATAACAGTGGTATTTTGGAAACACCAAAATACAAAATGTCCAAAAAGTATCTTTATTCCAGCTCCCTCATTTTGCAGATGGTAGCGTACAGGCGACCCCCCATTAAAATGAGTTCTATTCCTAGTTCTGATTTAAGCTACGGAGACTAGTAGCTACTGGGTTATTCATTGGGCTGCTAACCACCGGGTCAGTCATTCAAACCCAGCCACCACCTTATCTGAGAAAGAGGAAGTTGTCCACTCCCATAAAGATTTACGGTCTCAGAAACTCAAAGGAGCAACACTACCTGGCCTGGAGGGTCCCTGTGATTGAGTTGGGTTTGGTCTAGGAGTTGGGGGTTTAAAGTAGGATTTGTATGTAAATTGGAACAGTTATGAACAGTTTGTATCCAATGTCAGTCAATGTTTATCTTAGCATATAGTATATAATGTACCTGTGTATGCATGAGAACATTAAAAAAGTACTTTCAGATATCATAAAACATTTTAAGATAACAGTGCATTAATAATTTTATGTGCATCACCAAGGGGTTCCTGTTTGTTATTGTGAGCCATTCTACATAGATCGGATTTTTAATATAACAGCCTTTGCAAGAGTTGGTTCAAAACTGTACATTGCACTTAAACCAGATGTTCCTAATCTGGGTACAGAGGTTCTGTAACTGATCCATATTAATTTACCTGATACCAAACCAAAAATGTAAATCTAGCTGTTCCTCCATACTTTTAAAGGTAGTTGCAGAAGGAATGGAAAGGAAGGAGCGAAGTCTTCCATCTTGAGTGAATGTTTCTGAAGGGGCACGGGGCTTGATGCAAGCACCCAGATGAGATTCCGTTACTACGGAGGCTCTGTTTTAGGAACATTGCAAGTATAACACATTCAAGCCCCACAATAACTTGACTGTTTGGGAAATAACACCGAGAAGATCAATTCAACTTCTATTTCCTCTGTGGTTCTTGATCCAACCCACAAGAATGACTCCTTATTCCTCCACAACTGTATTAAAAAAAGGAAAATTCCTGATGTACTCAAGTTGGCCCAGGTTTGAGGCATTTAAACCTCCCTGAGGACAGGGATGAGTTGCTCAGCTCTCTGAAAGTCCAGAGTGGTGGGGACTTAGAGGGAACCGAAAGCTTACAGTCTCATGGAAAGCAAAGGGGATTCAGGAATTAAGAAAGGTTGGAAGGTCTCCAAAGGTATACTAAGATACCAAAACAAAAAAATGCCAACAAGAATCAGTTGACTCATGGCTATCCTGTGGATGTCAGACTGCGATGTGCGCCTAGGCTTTTAAAAAGGTGCTTTTTGTGTTGTAGATAACAGCTATTTCTTCAAATCCCCTCTTGAGTGGCCTTCAGCCTCCTAACTTTTGATTAGTAGTCAAGGGCATTGAACCTGTGTATCACTCAGGAGCTACTGGACAGGGATAGGGGATACTAAGCTGCATTCCTAGGAACCAGGGGAGTAATAGCCACCTAGTCTTGGGCATATCTGATAAAGAAGAATTGAAGAAAGTGAACAAAGTTTCATTTGATTACTGAAAAGTTTCTTTCTTCAGTGTCCCCGCCATAAACTGAGAAATGCCATAATGTTTAGATTATGAATTCTTTTAGTTTGGGTAAGTGCCTTATCAGTGAATATCACTCTCTTTTAACCTAAAGGTTGTGCCTCAATTATTATTTTTTGTTTTGACTGAGCCTCTTTTCTTCCAGAATCTGACTTTACAGATGGGGCAAATATGCAAGCATGACTTCAAGACTCAGTCCCTGAGAGCACCAAGGAGAACCTTGATGACTGAGATAGTGTATTGTGCCAGCTTGGCTGATAAACGCAGGTGGGATTGACTGAGGGGCGGAGAGATGGATGGCTTGGTGAGCCTTGCCTTTCTTGTCTCTCGCTCTGTGATCATCAGACCAGTGTGCGGCTGCCTTGCTTGTTCTGTGCCTC